ATGCTCCTGTACTGCAACACCCATCATCCCCCACCCAGGAAAGCCACCAGTCAAGGCAGATGGGAATTGTACTCCCATATCTGGATGGTTTCCCGTCCCTGGAATGAGGGGAACAAGGATATAATCTTCATGGCGCCAAATGGCCATGAGAATGGAGGGGAAAGAGGCAGAGCCCGCAGCCGAGGAAGCGTTAAACCCATTTTTGGCAAAATGGTTGCTCAGAAAGATTAAGAGGGAGTGTCCATGGATATCACTCAAAAAAATAGTCGCTCAAAAAGAAGAAAGCATGTATTACAGATTCCTTGTTCTGCCCTATATGTGTCTGTGAAATTATCCTATACTAAGAACGAGAATTCTGACTTATTCTGTGGTCAAGAATGAGAATGTTTGAAAATCTGAGGAAAATGTCTGATAAAATCTGATGTAAATTCTCTTCAGGAATAGACGGGAACGGTGAGGGGCCATACGTGTCAAGCTTCTGTGGAAAGCACTGCACTATAATATATAATAAACATTTTATCTTGTACTGTATTAACACAAGAGAATCTCTCTCCCCTTGAGAGACTTGCATTCAACACACAATCAGCAAGGAATTTATTATCTCAGAAGACTTTGCACCCTTTTTGTTTGTTTTAATCCAACTCTTCCCCCTGGATAGCTCTTTGAAATTTTGACTTTAAAAAGTTAAAATAAATTAATCTTCTTTTCTAAAATTTATTTAGCAAGCAACACCAAGTTCCCTCCTTGGGCTGGCAAGGTTTGGGGAGCCCTTTCTAGATAAAATGTGTCTCTTTCTAGAGAAAATATTTACCTAGAGAGAAATATATATCTGTTTCTAGATCATCCCCCCCCCCACGTTTGGACATACTGGAGATTTCAGTGGGAGAAAATGGTGTGTTTGAAATGTAATTTTAGGTATGATTTTTTCTCCTCACACTTTTCAGGAGCCAGCCCTCTTTCTCTGGCTGAATTGGTAATTGTAATTACCTAGTGTTGTTAAGAAATTGTCTGAAGTGATTTAAAAGGATGGGTAGTGAGGAGGACACAAAAAAACTCCTTTAAAAGCCAAAAAAAGGGGGGGTGGAGGTGCTTCTTTCCCTCATGAACCTTCTCTGGGGGCTTAAAGGAGAAGCCCCCCCCCATGTGTTTTTTGATGGCGATGCTTATGGTTACAAGGCTCTCAGGGCACACACAGCTTCGAATGTCTCCCCTTTCTGTCGATTAAAATTGGATTAAAATTAAAAAATAACGACGAGCTCCTCAGGGCTGCGCTCCTCCTTTCCCTCCAAAGGAGAAACCCTCCCCTGCCACGAGCTCGCTTTGGGCGGGAAACCGCCGCCTCTCGCACTGCGCAGGCGCCCCACTGCCGCCGCCGCCGCGAGCTCGCCGGCGCTTCTCCCCGCCCTCTCCCCGCCCTCCGCTCCTCCTTGGCTCCGCCTCCTGTCTCCTCCGCTCCCCTCCCCGCGTCTTAAAGGGCCAGGCGTCGCAAAGCGAGAGGGAGCGCTCCACGTGGCTTTGTGAATGGGGAGAGTCTGACGAAGCAAGTGTCTCGTGTATGTGTGTATCCAAAGAAGGGAAAAGTTGCTTTTTGTGGACTGCCGCTGCCAGGATCCCACAGTTAGCAGAGCCACTGGCCACTGAGGATTTCTGGATTGGTTCCAAGCACACACACCCCGCAGATGCTGAAAAACGTGGATTATAGCGAACCCCATTGATTGATTGATTGATTGATTGCATCTATAGGAGCAGCCCTGTGGAGCTTCAAAAACATCTCATTTTTGGGACTACATGGCCCACATTTCAGCACTACATGACCCAGAATCCTTCAACCGTCCTGAGGACATGCCAGACCCATTTTGGGGAAGGTTGGAGCAACCCACAAGGGGATTGATCTGGCAGAACTTGTACAGAGTTAAGAAACCCTCCATTATTTTGTAGGATTAAATGTGGTTATTAAATAATGTTTTTCTACCCTGCAGGCAGGGAAGGGGAGATTTTTTGGATATTGCAGTGGAGATCCCGAAACGGTGTCTGTGATATTTGTAAAGGGTCATTTATTCTTGCATCAACCAAAACCTAGAACAGAAAACATGAGATGACTCCTTGCAGAACTTTCTGCCATTCTCCCAGTGGTATGCATTTGAATGAATGAATTTTATGGGCTGAAAATTTAGTTATTTATTTATTTTATTTATATCCCGCCTATCTGGTCGGATAAGACCACTCTAGGCGGCTAACAATTGCAGGCTGAAAACCTGCAGGAAAAGTCCAACTGATTCCCGACCCATCATCACCATCATCATCATCATCATAACCAGCCTCCCCACTCCACCTCTGCTTTAAAAAAAAAAAGCTTTCTGCTTTGCTGTGCGCCATGCTCAGCTGCACATATCAGTTGTAAGGCCAGCAGGACTTTGCACAGAAACAGCATCTCTGATGCACAAAGAAAATTATTTACCTTGTTCGTTCGTTTGTGTGTGTGTGTGTGTGTGAGACAAGAATGGTGTGAAAGTGATTCTTCCCTGCCCTTTTTAAACCTTGTTCGACAATAGCATTGACTTGTCAGGAGGGCTCACCCCTGATGAATATGAACAGCTATGAAGGCGAGACATCGTGTGTTTCTTGCACTTGATAAAGAAGTCAAGGGTGAGTGCACCGAGGTCACGGCTGGAGTGTCTTGCACAGGCAGCAGAAATGCTATCCGGCAGCATCTGTCTCTTCAGAACATGCTCAGTTCTCAGTGTGGTGGCTGCTTTGCAAACCAGGTAACATATATATATATATCAGTGTTGTTGTTGTTTAGTCCTTAAGTATACACACTGAGAACTGAGCATGTTTTGAAGAAACATGCTCAGTTGTTGTTGTTGTTGTTCAGTCCTTAAGTCGTGTCTGACTCTTCGTGACCCCATGGACCAGAGCACGCCAGGCCCTCCTGTCTTCCATGGCCTCCCAGATTTGGGTCAATGTCATGTTGGTCGCTTCGGTGACCCTGTCCAGCGATCTCGTCTTCAGTCGTCCCCTTCTCCTCTTGAATTCACACTTTCCCCACATCAGGGTCTTCTCCAGGGAGTCTTCGCTTCTCATGAGATGGCCCAAGTACCGGAACCTAAGCTTCGGGATCTGTCCTTCCAGTGAGCACTCAGGATGGACCTCCAGATGTTCTTGGACGTCCAGTCCCAGAAATCCTGGCCAGCAGAGGTGGTGGTGAAGGCTTCTGGGAGTTGTAGTCCAAAAACATCTGGAGGCCCAAGGTTGGGGACTTCTGATTCAATGTATAGCGTTTAATACACCTCTCTCTCTCTCTCTGTGTGTGTGTGTGTGTTTGCATCCACTGGGAATCAATCCCCCATGAATTCCACAGTCCTGCTATACATTCTAAACCAAGGTGCTCAGGCTTTACAATTATCAGGGGTCATTTTGGGTTGAGAGGTGGAAGAACGTCACGGAGATCTTCCTTCCTTGTGCTCTGTTTGATAAGAGCCTCCCCGTTTTTCTCTGCACAACTTACGAGTATCCATTGACGTCCAGCGCACCTCGGGTTCCCGACAAGAATAAACAGCCTGCCCCATCTTTCTATTTACGTCCAGTTCAGAAATGAAATCAATAGCATTCTCTATCATTTTATTTTATTTTATTTACTCCTGATCAGTAATTTTGTGACCTGAAGGTCACAGCTATTGAAAGCTGATGTCTCCCTTGATTAATCCGCCATGTCGGCTCCGTATTACAAGATCTTTCATTGTCTTCAATTAAAGCGCTGAAAATGAATACCACCTGTGCACTCATAGTTACAATGTCAATAAAGTCCATTATAATTATACATTGCTTGATGACAAATGACATGCCAAAGGAGTGACAAGCTCGTTCGGGGAGGCGAGGCAGGGTGGCCGTTGCATGACGTGGTAGCATCTATTTTGCTCATGTTATCAGGGAGAACATCGTTCTGCAGTTCCATCTTTTTTTTTCTACACGGCTTCAAATTGGAAGAAACAGATTTCGTTCATCGGAGAAATACTGAAGAAATAAACATCTCACAAACTAGCATGTTTCCCCATATTTAGACACAGTGGAGAGCTGAACCCCAGGCAACCCTTTTGGAGACCGCGCAGGAGAAAATGCTCCCTAAATTTTAGGGCACATTCCGGCTGGCATATTGTTTGCGATTTGGATCACTTTTGGTGCTGCTTAGTTTGAATCAAATTATGGTGTCCCCATGCGTTTTGAATTAAGAGCAATCAATCCTGCCTCTTTTTAGAGCTGACCCACTCTATTTTTTGGGGGGGGCACAATGCTAGGGCTACAGTTTTATTGGCGTCAATCAGAGCCCTCCTAGTGATCTCTTTCTGTAGCCCACACCAAAACAGAGCCGTAGGTGGTGTTATCTGAGGTGACAACCATGTGATGCATTTGTTGGGTTGTGGCATCGACAAGGATGATGGAGAACCTCCCTCCTCCATTTTCATCTACTCCAGCCATTCTCAATGGGGGTCACAGGGACCCCCAGGGGTCCTGGCACATCTGAAGGGAGCCACAGGCTGGAAACAATTCTTCACACACCACATTATAAAAGTTCATTGTGCGACCTATCTTTACTCAGCCTATACAGTGGTGCCTCACATAGCGACGATACTCGTTGCAGCAAAAATCGCTGCAAAGTGATTTCGTCGCTATGCGATATTAAAAAGCCCATAGGAATGAATTGAAACCCCTTCAATGCGTTCCTATGGGCTTCAGACTCACCTTTAAGCGAAAATCCTCCATACGATGGCCATTTTCTCTGCCCGGTAAGCAAGGAATCCGTCCCAGAAAACAGCGGGTGTAGGTGGTGTGGTGTTATCTGAGGTGACAACCATGTGATGCATTTGTTGGGTTGTGGCATCAACAAGATGATGGAGAACCTCCCTCCCCCATTTTCATCTACTCCAGCCATTCTCAACGGGGGCCACAGGGACCCCCAGGGGGCCTGGCACATCTGAAAGGCTGGAAACAATTATTAACACATCACCTTATAAAAGTTCATTGTGCGACCTATCTTGACCCAGCCTATATTTCTTTCATATTGTGTTTATGGTAGTGGCCCAAAAATGGTTGAGCATGGCTGACGTGTTAAGTTTTTAAAATATGGTTTCCTCTTAATGCAGTGCTGTTCCAGATTAAAAAAAACACCATGGCGATATTATGTGTATGATGCTAGGTAGATGCATCACTGTTTCGCTATGTCACTTAACTTTATTTAAGGGGGGGGAGGAAAGCTGGGATGGTTCAATGAATGATGGCCGCAAGAAAAAGCAGAGAAGGGGCCAAAAACGGCCAGAAACGGGAATGCCATTAAGTGAACAGGGGACAAATTGGAGCAACTCAAAGACCTGTCTGGAACCCCCCCCCCCTTAACTTTATTTAAGGGGGGGGAGGAAAGCTGGGATGGTTCAATGAATGATGGCCGCAAGAAAAAGCAGAGAAGGGGCCAGAAACAGCAGTGCCATTAAATGAACAGGGGACAAATTGGAGCAATTCAAAGACCTGTCTGGACCCCTCCCATGGGAGAAGAAATGTCAGTAAGTGCGAATTCAAGTGATAGATGAAACAGATCGCACTTATAGACATGAACCAGCACAACTTACCCTGTGCCCTTATTTGCTGAAGCTCCTAGATCTGTGAATGTTTGTGTGCCAGTTGGATGCAGGAAATTCTCTTTCTCCAAATGAAGAGAAAGCAGATGAGGGGGAAGTAAGATAGCAGGTAGAAGGACGAAGGAAGAGTCTGAAACTAGCAACACACAAAGAGAATTAGAATGGGGAGAGGAACATCTGAGTTAGCTATTTATCTATCCCTCACTCCTCTGTCACAGACCACTTCTCTACCATCATTATTGCTGTCTTCGAACTAGTTTGCCATAGGCCCATGATGCTGATTCACACCTGTTTCCCTCCCCGACACCTTTTCGCAACCCCTGCCGGTGCAAGAGCTATCGGCTCATTTCTTCTCAGCTTTCCCTGCCAATCGGACACTAAACAACGGCATTTCCTGGTCCTGACCCCCCCCACGCAAAACCGAAAAGGATGCTATCTGCCCTTTGGAAAGTGCTCCAATTAGGGCACCTTTTGTCTGACGACTCCACGGAAGGTAGAAGCAAGCTCCTTGAACCGTTCCCAGCTAGCCCTCTCCATTGAAAGAAAAAGAAGAGGTGGGGGCCGGAGAAAAGCAAAGAAAGAAGAAGAAGAACGGATCAAATTGCCCATGTATGAAATTCTTCCAGCTATGAGTTTCCCTCACTATTATCTGCTTTGGGCTGAATGGAGTGCACTTTGCTGATAGCGACACAGATCAAATTAAAGAAAAGAAAGC